TGATATCTACAGTATCAATTCAGGGCTTGCAGAGGTTGTCGAACCTGGTACCTGGTAAACAACCCTAGCTGTAGGTCAGCATTTCAAAGGCCTGCAGCCTGGAAATGAAGGTGAACTGGAAGAAACACTGATCCTACAAGGTCTGCAGCCCGACTTTAGTGGTTGGCCAAGGATACCTCAAATTCTGAAGTTGGAATAAGGAATTCTGTTGCCTTCAGGCACCTGGCAGAACCAAATGAAAATTCAGGAAGATTATAATGTCACCCTAAATCTCAAATTATTTATTTTTAATGTATGTTTATTTTTGAGAGAGAGGGAGGGGAGGGAGAGAGAGAGGAGAGGGCAGAGAGAGAATCCCAAGCAGGCTCTCCAGAGGCTGATGTGGGGCTTGAATGTACGAACTGTGAGATCATGACCTGAGCTGAAACCAAGAGTCAGAAGCTTAACTGGCTGAGCCACCTAGGCACCCTTACAAATAAAGTTTTTAAAGTGTTCAGCAAAGAAAGAAAGATAATTTTTAACTCCATGATATGAGTGAGAACTAGCAGAAGCAAGAACAAGGTCATAGGGATTCCAGATTTTAAAATTATCAGACTGTAAAATATTTGTGTTCTAAACATAAAAGCCAGGCTTGAATATTTTAGAAGGGAACTGGAAAGTATATATATAAAATAAAATGGCAGATTTGAACAACCTGTCAAATAGAAACTTTAGAACTGAAAAATAATCAAAATGAAGAAGATACCAAGATAACGTATAATGTACTGTTTAAAAAGAATTTTAATATTTATTTATTTTGAGAGTGAGATAGAACAGGAGCAGGGAAGTGGCAGACAGAGAGGGAGACACAGAATCTGAAGCAGGCTCCAGGCTTTGAGCTGTCAGCACAGAGCCAAACACAGGGCTTGAACCCATGAACCATGACCTGAGGTGAAGTCAGACACTTAACTGACTGAGCCACCCAGGTGCCCCTGTATAATGTACTTTTAAGTGGAGTCCCAGAAGGAGAGAAGAGAAAATGGGGTAGAAACTATATTTGAGTGAAAGATATCAATCCATAGTTCAAGAATTCCAGGGATTACTAATACAGTAAAAAGAAAAGAAATACAATAACAGTGTAAAAGCAAAATGAGAAAAACACTGACATTCTAAGAACTCTTAGACTGACCACTGAGTTCTCTACAGCTACAGTGGAAGTCAGGGAACTGTATACGGATATCTTCAATACACTGGAAGAAAGTAGCTGTCAAATTAAATTCTTCATCTGGCAAAATATCTCTTAGGAAAGAAAGACATTTCAAACAAAAACTGAGTTTGTCACCAGCATATCCACAATGAAGGAAATTCTAAAGGGTGTTCTTTATACAAAAGGAGAATGATTACAGATAAAGAGATCAAAGATGAAGAGAAAAAATAAAGAACAACAAAATAGATAAATATGTGGTTGAATATAAAGGAACATTGTTCAGGGGTACCTGGGTGGCTCAGTCAGTTGGGCATCTGACTCTTGATTTCAGCTCAGGTCATGATCTCACAGTCATGGGATTGAGCCTAGAGTTGGGCTCCATGCTCAGTGCTGAGTGTGGAGCCTGCTTGGGATTCTTTCTCTCCCTCTCCCTCTTCCCCTCCCCTGTTTGTGCACACTTGCATGCATGCGCGCTCTCTCTTTCTCTCAAACAGTAAAAAAAAAGAAAAAAAAAAAAGAGTCAGACATTTAATCAAATGACCCACCCAGGCACCCCTAGTCCAGAATAGTTTGAAAGGAGGTGTAATTAAATGACATGATCATGAAATATAAAAATTAAGACATCTGAACGAAACACTCATAGAAATTCCTTATGAACTTTCATGATAAACAATGTCTAAAATGTGCCTGTTGGCACATTAAATGAATTGGCTTGCATTTGACAGTTAGCTAGCCTCTTGGTAGACACCTTCCAAAAATGATATTTGGCTTTAGAATAATTGATATCAAGCCATTTGCTATGGTGTCCATGTTTATGTCCCCCCAAATTTCATGTGTTGAAAGCCTAAGGTTTATTAGAAGATGGGACCTTTAGGAGGTGATTAGTTCATGAAGACAGCCCTCATGAATGGGATTAGTGCCCTCATAAAGGAGGCCCCGGAGAGATCCCCTGCCCCTTACACCATGTGAGGTTATAGTGAGAAGATGGCTGCAGGGAAGAAACAGACCCTTCCCATTCACCAAATCTACCAGTGCTATATAACCTCAGACTTCTAGCCTCTAGCACTGTAATAAGTGTTGTTTATAAGCCACCTAGTTTATGGTGTTTTGTTTTAGCAGCCCAAGTAGACTAAGATGCCTTCCTTTCTTGCCACAATTAACTCACCAGTTACTAATTAAAGCCACTGCTAGACCTTCACAATAAAATTTTTTTCCTGCGCAAAAAAATTGGTTATGTTTCTCTATCAGAAGGCTAATGGAAAAGAAACATCCAACTTTGAATGTGTGCATGCAAGGCATTTTGGGTTTCGTTTTTTCTACTGACTTAATTTGTCCACGTTTACGTAAAAAAAAGGGCCCATATATTTAATTTATTAAGGTAATGTAGTTTATAGAGCTGCCCATCTCTCATTTCACTGGGCATTTGAATTTTGTCTTTTGTATTTGATGTTAGTTTGTACAAACATTTACAAAAGGGGACAATGTTCACATATTTATTTTATTAAGGTACTATATTTTGTATAGACATCTGTCAATTACTGGGCATATGAATTTGAAATACTCATTTCTGGAAAACAATGATGTAAACTTTGTCATACACATTGTTTTTCATGATTTTGGAAAATTACCTTGGAGTATAATTTGAAAATGAGATTAAAGACTATAAAATTTTCTGGTTCTAATATTTTATTGCCGAATTGTTAAACTTTTCAGGAAGTAAGAACATCCCCTTTTTATGGGTTCCTCTGACTAGATCCTAACTTAAAATTCCTGAAAACATAAACTTCATAACAAGGTCATTATGGCTTTTCTAGAAAACAGAATCCAACAACATGGAAGAAATTCTGTTAAATTTTTACTTTTCTTGCAAGAGGCTGGGTTTTGAAGGAAAGGATGAAAATCTCAATTATAGAAATAATAGGAATTATAGCCATAGAATTGGTGTTTCATCCCTGAATGCTCCTTATCCCTGAGGTCTTTATGGTCTTCTAGAATTGATTTATGGAAACGTTTTTGTGCACCAGTTTTTGAAAAAGAGTTCTTAAGCCCTAGCAGGTCAGTCTGAGGCTTGGCCACTCCAGCTCTAGGAATCCAACCCAGAATGGGTCTTGTCTCCTCATTGTTTTCTGTGTTCAAGGTCAGCCTTTCTTCTGGCTTACTTAAAAAATGTTCAAAATCAAAAGCTTCCAAGTCTGGTTTACTTTCTAAAATAGTAGGCTTACTAAAGCTAACAGAGTTTTGACACATAGTACACGGGTCACATATGGCAGGTTTTAGATGCTCATACTGAATGTAATGGTTTGGGCTATAGCAAGGTATAGGTTGGGGTTTTAATGCCAGCTGTCTCCAGTACAAATCTTTTATCTTCTTAGTATCTGTGATTTTTGGAGATATTTTTATGTTGCAAACGTTAGTCAGATCTCTTGTTGGGTAACAAGGTGGGGATGCATAGGTAGATAGCAAACTTTGTTCTTCCTTAATCTTGTCTTCAATTTCCTGTTTTTTATGGGTGACACCTGCCAGTGTGTTATCACTAAGTGCCATCATTTCTGTAGAACTGGGTACAAAGGTATGAAAATTACACAAAACTCTAGGGGTACAATCTGGACAGGAATGTGGTCTCTGCTGGACAACAGCCTCCAGAGGCCGTCGGTTCTGCATCAGTCGAGCAATTCGTCCTGCTAGGGGTCTTGGAGGTTTTAAGACAGGATGGAATTTTTCTTGCTGTAGTGGTGGGATAAAAAGGAGAAAATCAGTTAATAAATCTGGCATTGTAAGGGTATCACCACAAACGGCAGGTCAAATTTGTACCCGTTTTCACTGAGTAAATGTAGAATGGGTGTAGGAGTGCACATTGCAATGTTTGCTTGCTTATTTATTTATTTATTTACAGACATTGACATTTGGGTCCTAATAAACACATGTTTTTCTCTTCTGGTTTTTGCTGATAGGGAAAGGGGATGTTTTCACTTGGCTATGGAAAAATTCCTCTGTGTAGGAACTCTTTGCTTTCAAATGTTCAAAGATATAAAAGAATCACTTGAGCAGAATTTCTGCCATCCCCAACAGATGATGTTGAAGGTTATGTGTGGTTATTTAAATCTCAGTGAAAGCTTTCCAATGCAAGGGTTCTTAAACCTCGGTTGAATCAGAATCAGCTTTGGAGCTGGAGAAAATGAGATTCCTAAGCTTGATCCACTTGAGACTGTGATTCAGAGACTGTGATTCTGCAGTGGAGCTCAGGAATCTGCTTTTTTTTTTTTTTTTAAGTTTATTTATTTATTGAGAGAGAGAGAACAAGAGAGCACAAGCAGGGTGAGGGGCAGAGAGAAAAGGAGAGAGAGAGTATCCATCAAGGATACACTGCGATGTGGAGCTTAGAACTCATGAACTGAGATCATACGCAGTGAGCGGAGACTAAGTCGAGAGCGGCCACTGACCGGAGCCACCAGGTGCTCCAGGAATCTGCTTTTGTAACAAACATCTTGAGTGATGCTGAGACCAGTGATGTGCTGTGCTTAAACAGCAGTCTGCAGGGGGCTTGTTCTATCTGTGCGTTTTGAGATATTGTACAGATATTATGAATCATGTCTGGTAACTGCAAAAGTAGTGTATTTACAAGTTTACTAATAGATATATGTCGATGGGGGTATAGGAATAAGAGGGAGGAGTTGATTAGAAAGGGGCATGAGGAAACTTTCTGGAATGATGGTAATATTTAATGTATTGATAGGTGTTTGGGTTACAAAGGTGTACGCGTTTGTCAGAACTCAGTGAACATGCACTTTAAAATATGTGCAATTTCATTGAATGTGTATTTTGCCTTAAAAGAAAAGCTGCAACAGATTGAACTCTGTTTAATGATATGCATGCTGATTGTTTAAGGATGAAGTATCCTAGTGTCTGCAATTTCTCTCAAATGCATAAAACATAATAAAGTGTATTGATGGGTGGCTGAAGAGATGGAAAGATGGATAGATTATGTGATAAAGTAAGTATAGCAAAATGCCGATGGTAGAATCTCGGTGGCGGGTGCATGGATGTTAGTTGTAAAATTATTTCAACGTTCCATAACTGTCAAGATTTTTAAGATAGTATGTTGAAGAAAAACTAACAGAATCGATGGATGGTGATAATGGAATTGATAGCAGAGGCAATAAAAATGAGAATGGTGAGAAAACAGTAACTCGAGTTTGGATATAGAAAACAAAACGGAGTTAGGAGTGTCTTCTTGGATCCTAATTTTCTCAGAGTTGGGGGAATTTCCATCTACTATTAACAAATCTGTTATAACCTTTAGCTAGTTAGGTTTCAGTAGATACTAGAAGAAACCCCAGCTCTTTAAAATACTTTGTTAAATTTGTCATGAACAAAAAAGTGTGGGGTATATCATATCCTCCTTGGACAGGACCCCTTTATGCAAGAAGCAGTTTTTAGTATCTTTATTTCATTCTACTGTAACAAAATACTTCATACACTTATTACCACTAAAACATGCCTTCCCAGAGTCTGTTATTCATGTCTTAGTCAGAAACCAGAAAGAGGCACTAAAACTTACTTTCATTTATTTTTTTAAAGTTATTTTGAGAGAGAGAGAACATGCATGCATGCACAAGTGGGGGAGGGGCAGAGAGTGGATGGGGGAGAGAGAGACAGAGAGTGAGACAGGGAGAGGGAATCTCAAACAGGCTCTGTGCTGTTAGTTTGGAACCTGATGCGAAGATCGAACCCATGAACTGTGAGATCGTGACCCGAGCTGAAACCAAGCTGGAAACAACCGACTAAGTGAGCCACCCAGGCACCCCTAAAACTTTTAAACTTTATTTTAGGCATATTTTATCTTATTATTAATAAAAATTTAGTTGATGGTTTACTTGCACAATAATTTTGCATATAATATACTTGGCAAACATTCTTTATATAACTGTACATGTATTTCTTTGTAAAAATGATAAAGCTGCTTCCTGAAGGGCTGGACTCTACAGGGTCAAATCTGTGGAAATCTGGATAGCTGATGAACATAGTTGACAATGTTGGAATACATGTATAGTGCTTTCTAGCCTTAGAGAATATTTGTTGCAAGTGAAAAGTAAAAAAAACCCTTCAGTGAATGATAAAGCACAGTCTGTATAACTATTTCAGGTGTTATGATTTTTTTATCACCTTGGGAAATACCAAAGCTAATGTAAAATAAATGTGTTCAGCTCAGTCTAAATTCTACGGTTTATATCTTTGGAAATACTAATTTTGTTTTAAAAACCGTGTAGCTTTAGAGGATAAAATCTAGGCCCCAAATAAAATAGCATATATGTCTATTGTTAAATTATTTTATTTCATGTATATATAAGTAATCCAACAGACTATAATTTCTGTCACTAACGGGCTTGATCATTTCTTTCAGGCCATTTCACATAATCAATTAAGAAATTTGTGGGGCGCCTGGGTGGCGCAGTCGGTTGAGCGGCCGACTTCAGCCAGGTCACGATCTCGCGGTCCGTGAGTTCGAGCCCCGCGTCGGGCTCTGGGCTGATGGCTCAGAGCCTGGAGCCTGTTTCCGATTCTGTGTCTCCCTCTCTCTCTGCCCCTCCCCCGTTCATGCTCTGTCTCTCTCTGTCCCAAAAATAAATAAATAAAAAAAAAAGTTGAAAAAAAAATTTTTTTAAAAAAGAAATTTGTATTGATATTTGCAGAGAATTTACTGGCTTTCGATTGCAATTTAGCCAACTCTCAATTGTAAATATCAATGAATCCATGTGAATATATAAACATTCATAGAATTATTAAGAATCTCATTAGAGGGTAAGCATTTGTAAACCTATTCCTTTGTAAATTTTAGCAACAGTAGCATAATAGAAAATCTGTTTTTTAAACAATTTCAGTGGGCGCCTGGATGGCTCAGTTGGTTAAGCCTCTCAACTCTTGATTTCGGCTCAGGTTATGATCTAACAGTTCATGAGTTTGAGGCCTGCATTGGTTGCACTGACACTGCAGGCCTGCTTGGGATTCTCTCTCTCTCCTTCTCTCTCTCTGTCCCTCCCCTGTTCATTCGCTCTCATGCTCTTTCTCTCTCTCAAAATAAATAAACTTAAAAAAAAAAAAAACAAAAAACCAAACCCTCAAAACACCAGCACTGGGAATAGGAAAAGAAACCTCGCTTGTTCTTTGAAATAGTGGGCAAAGGTATTTAAAGCAGTTCAGATCAATTCAAAACTAACTTCTATAATGAGTTAAATTTTCCTTTTGTTAGCTTGGTCACCAGTACTCATGAAGCAAATAAAAAGTGGGTGAAGCAAGAAGGGCCCTAACACTCGGATTCTTTCCCCCTAAGTAACTGCGAGTTGACTGCAATTACTTACAGGCTCTGGGTCAAATCCTATCTGTCCAGTTAACTCTGCTCTCTCCTTTTCATGGTAATCATCCAGTTCAAGGGGGTTCATGGGCCCCAGACCTTAATGGAAACATCACATCTTACTACTTTGTTAGAGTAAATGAAGGATGGCTCTTAAATGACATTTTATAGAAAAACTTACCCATTTCCCTTTGTAATATAATTAGAATGAATAAATTGAAAACAGTTGTACCTCCCAGTTTCCCGCTAAGAGAAGCTTACTACCCACCCTAATTTCTATTAGTATTCAGGTTAAGAAACAGGGGAAAATATTAGAAGATGCAAGCTGGGAACAGCATTTGTCAAATATTCTAATTTTCTTCTTTTTTACTTGTATTAAAGTAAACCCATACCTGTAAAATCATGAGCATATGAAGTGATCCAGTGGGACCTCTCAAGATTTCTTTGTATATTGGCTTCTTTTAGAGAGTTAATCGGGTCCCACGAATTTAAAGAAGTGTTAGGAGCGAAGGTTTTAGGAGGTTTTGGGTAGAACACTGGCTTGTTGTTTCCAACACATTTAGGAAACTAGAATATGAACATCAAAGTTTATTGTTATTAGTGCCATCTAGTAGAATAGGGCTGATTCACTATTTTAGCAAGAAGGAGCATAAAGGAAATTCTAGGCTGAAGTCAGATATGATTTTTTTCTTCATTAATCACTAATATTCTGCAACTTAACCATATTTAGAGTTAAACACAGTATTTTATCACATGAATGATGAGTTTTTTGCTTTAGCAGGGACTCTATCTGATAACATACCTTGGAGAAATGTCCCTGAGAATACTCTACCTCCAGTAAAATTTTATTAGAGATAAGTGTTCTGAGGTACTCCTTTGGCTAAATTCAGCCAAAATTGTGTGTCTCCCACTTCTCTTTCCTTGTCAGAAATGGCACCATTTGATATATTTTATGGATTTCTGATGAAGTTTAAGTCATTTAAATTCAAATAAAATTTTTCCTTCTATCAATATAACTTTACAATGGAGTTTATTTTGTATTTTCAAAAGGAGGTGTACGTAAAAGTGAATGAATGAATGAGGTTCATTGAAGTCTCTTTGGGTATTTAGAAATTCACCTTTTTCTCAGATTGAGCGTACTCAGTAAATATTTACTGAGCACCTATATATGCAAGGTAGTGGCAGGGAACAAGGATGGAACAGAAACAAATCATCCAGGGATGTATTGGCTAGAAGAGGAGAGAAGGAATGAACATAAATGACTCTAAGATGAAAAGTAACTTATAAAAGAGGTCAAGAAAGAAGTATTGGTAAGTTCTGAGGAGGGAGAGATTGATTCTAACTGAACAGGAAAGTAAGGTGGGGAGCAGAGAAGAATGGAGGAGACAAGAGGCCATGTTATGTCATACCACAGAAAATAGGCCTTGAAGGACATGCAGAGATAGGGAGGCCAAAGGAACAGCAAGAGCAGAGGTATGGATGGTGGTGGAAAGTATGGAATTAACTTTCATGAACACTATGCACTTGTCCTGAACAAAGCCTGTCCTTAACGTTTGCAGGTCCTGGGGCTATATTGAGACCCTGCATTCCATTGGTCTAAATTATTTTATTTTATTTTATTTTATTTTATTTTATTTTATT